GCTGAAAGCAGGAATACTTGGTTTGTTCCTGACCACACAGGAAAACTTTTCAGTCTTTCACCACTGAATATGATGTTGGCTGTGGGCTTTCCGTATGTGGCCTTTATTATGTTGAGGTAGTTTCCTTCTGCTCCTAGTTTACTGAGTGTTATTTTTTAATCATGAAAGAATGTTGAATTTTGTCGTGTGGTTTTTTCTGCATTAATTGAGATCATAATGTGGGTTTTCCCCTTAATTTTGTTAATGTGGTATAATACATTGTTTTTTTTTTTTTTTTTTTTTTTTTTTTTTTTTTTTTTGAGATCAAGTTTTATTCTTGTTGCTCAGGCTGGAGTGTAATGGTTCTATCTCACTATCTCAGCTCACTGCAACCTCCTCCTCCCAGGTTCAGGTGATTCTTCTGCCTCAACCTCCCATGTAGCTGTGATTACAGGCACCCACCACCATGCCTGGCTAATTTTGTATTTTTAGTAGAGATGGGGTTTTACCCTGTTGGTCAGACTGGTCTTGAACCCCTGACCTCAGGTGATCCATCCAACTCAGACTCCCAAAGTGCTGGGATTGTAGGCATGAACTACCTTGCCTGGCCTTCAATGATTGATTTTCACATGGCAAATCATCCTTGCATTACAGGAATAAATCTCATTTGATCACGGTTTAGAATTCTTTTAATATGCTGCTGAATCAAGTTGGTGAACATGTTGTTGAGGGTTTTTGCATCAGTATTCATTAGGACTGTTAGTCTGTGTTTTCTTTTCTTATAGCAGCTTTTGTTTGTAATAAAAGAAAAAAGTGTCAACTTGTTTTTCACATTTCTATATCCAGCAAAACTTATAAATGAGGGAAAAAATTAAGAAATTCCCAAAGAAAAGCATAGAGAGTTCATTACTTTCATTACTGTGTTCTACCTTATGGAATAAGGTAGGAAGTGTTCCTTCCCTTTCAATTTTTGGTAAAGGTTTGAGGAAGATTGGTGTTTTCTTTAAACGTTTGGTAGAATTCACTAGTGAAGCTATCTGGTCCTGGACTTTTCTTTGTTGGGAGGTTTTTAGTTACTGATTCAGTGTCCTTACTAGTTATATGTCTGTTCAGATTTTATATTTCTTCATGGTTTAGTTTTGGCACATTATATGTTTCTAGGAATTTGTGTCTTTCAATTTAGGTTATTTAATTTGTTGGTATACAATTTGCTCATATTCCTCTTTTGTAATCCTTATTTCTATAAAATCAGCAGTAATATCCTCACGTTGTTTCTGATTTTAGCTGAATCATATCTTGTTTCCTTAGTTTAGCTACAGATTGTCAGTTTCATTCATCTTTTCAAATAATCAACTCTTGATTTCATTAATTTTTCTTTATTGTTTTTCTATTCTCTCATTATGTATCTCTGCTCTAATCTTTATTATTTCCTTCCTTCTGCTACCTTTGAGTTTAGTTTTTTCCCTTTTTCTGTTTTTTTAAGGTGTAATGTTAGGTTGTTAGTTTGAGACCTTTTGTCTTTTAAATATATTTATAGCTATAAAATTTCTCTCTTTGCACTGCTTTCACTGTAATTCATAATTTTGTTTTCATTTTCATTTTTTTCAATATGCTTTCTAATTTCTCTTGTGATTTCCTCTTTGGACTATTGGTTAAGGTTTGATTATTTCCAAATATTTGAAATTTTCAGGATTTGTTTCTTGGCTATTGATTTCTAGTTTCATTCCATTTTGATTGGGAAAAATAAAACTTTGTATGATTTCAATTTTTAAAATTTATTAAGGCTTGAGGCTGGGCATGGTGGCTCATGTCTATAATCCAAGCACTTTGGGAGGCTGAGACAGGTAAAACACTTGAAGTCAGGATTTAGAGACCAGCTTGGCCAACATGGTGAAATCCCTTTTCTACTAAAAAACAATTAGCTGGTTGTGATGGTGGGCACCTGTAATCCCAGCTACTTGGGAGGTGGAAGCACAAAATTTGAATCCGGGAGATGGAGGTGGCAGTCAGCCAAGATTGTGCCACTGCCTTCCAGCCTGGGTGACAAAGTGGGACTCTGTAATTTTAAAAAACAAAAAAAAATTATTAAGGCTTGTTTTTTGGCTTAATATATGGTTTATCCTGGAGAGTGTTTTAAGTACTCATGAGAAAAATGTGTATTGTGCTATTTTGGGGTGGAATATTTTATATATATTTTATATATATATATATATATATATATATGATATGTATATGATATATGTTAGGTCCAACTGGTCCATAATATTGTCCAAGTCCTCTATTTGGTTACTGATTTTCTGTCTGGTTATTCTAGCCATTATTGATATTCAGATATTGAGTCTCCTACTATTAGCGTAGAGCTGTCTATTTTTCCTTTAAATAGATTTTGCCAGTGTTTGGCTCATATACTTTGGAACTCTGGTGTTTGGTGCATATATGTTTACAATTGTTATATCCTTTTGGTGAATTGAACCTTTTATTATTATATATATTTTATAATGTCTTTCTTTGTCCCTCATAACAGTTTTTGATATAAAGTCTATTTTGTTTGATATTAGTAAAGCCACCCCTGCTGTTTTGATTACTGTTTGCATAAAATATCTTTTTCCAACCTTTCACTTTCAACCAATGTGTATCCTTAGATCTAAAATGAGTATGTTGTAGACAGTATGTAATTGGACATGGGTTTGTTAAAAATCCATTATGCCAATGTATGTCTTTTGATTGAGGAGTTTAATATATTTACATTAAAAATAACTACTGATAGAGAAACACTTACTTTTGCCTTTTTTTGTTTTCTGCATCTCTTACAGCTTTTTGACCCTCATTTCCTCTATTACTGCCTTACTTTGTATCTAGTTCATTTTTTATAGTGACGTTTTTTATATTTCCTTTTAATTTCATTTTGTATATATTCTGTAGATATGCTCTTTGTGGTTACCTCAGGATTATATATAATATACTAAAGTTTTGACATTCTGTTTTAAATTGATACAAACCTAACTTCAATTGTACATAAAAACCCTACTCCTTTACAGTTCTGCCCCTCCACTTTATTTTACTGATGTCACAAATCATGTCTTCATATGTGGTGTACACATTAACTCAGGTTTATAATCATTTTTATCTGTCTTTTAAATCTCATAGAAAATAAAAATATACATTGCAATTAAAATTATAATAGTACTTTAAAAATATATTTTTCATGTGTCTATCTTTACTGGAGAACTTTGTATTTTTATCTAGTTTCATATTACACTTGCATTTTTTCATTTCAACTTTAAGTGCTTTTTCTAGGACAGGTCTGCTGGTAACAAACTCTCTTAGCTTTTCTCTGGGAATTTCTTAATTTTTCCCTCATTTTTGAGTTTTGCTGGATATAGAAGTGTCGAAAAGAAAGCTGATACTTTTTTCTTCCAGCACTTTGACCATATCAGCCCATTGCCTTCTGGCTTGAAAAGTTTCTGGCTGAGATATCTTTTACAGTCTTACTGAGGATCCCTTGTATGTGGCCAAAACTTTTGTGGCACTCAGGAATCTCTTTTTGTCTTCAATGGTTTGATTATAGTATGTCCCCGTGTGGGTCTCTGGAATGTTTGAGCTCCTTGAATTTACATAATCATGTCTTTTCTCAAATTTGAGAAGTTTTCAGCTATTATTCTGTATAAATAATCTCCCTGCCCTTTTATCTCTCTTTTTCTTCTAAGATTCTCATAATTATTGTATTAGTCTGCTTGAAGGTGTTGTGTAAGTCTCTTAGGCTCTGTTTACTTCTCTTTATTCTTTTTATCTGCTCAAACCTGATCATTTCTGATAACCTATGTTTAAGTTTCCTTTTTCTTTCTTCTGCCTGTTTGAATCTGCTGTTGAATCCCTCTAGTGAATTTTTAACTTTAGATACGATATATTTCAGCCCCAGAAGTTCCTTTAGTTCTTTTTTAGAATAGTCTCTGTTCTCTTGTTGATATTCTCATTTTTTTCATATATCATTTGCCTGCCTTTAGCTCCTTGAGCATATTTACAACAGCTGTTATGATCTTGCTTTACTGAGTCTGGTACGTATGTTTCTTCAGATACTGCTTTTGGAGATTTATTTTGTTCCTTTGATGAGTCATATTTCCTTGTTTCTTTTTACGTCTTGTGTTTTTTTGGTTGAACATTGGGCATTTGAAAAAGTAGACACCTATTTCAGTTTTTGCAGTTTTTTTAGGGGAACCCTCACTAATTAATGGGCCCCTAAGCCCAGAGATCAGCCCCGTGTGAAGACTTAAGAGCTGATCTTTTCTGGGCATGTGTTGTCTGTATCTGTGTGTGTGCTCCTGTCCCTACCTCCCTGGTCCCTTTCAAGTGTCTTTGATTCCTAGAGAGTCTCACTCCCTTCTACTTGCGGCCTTAGATACTCTTCATTTTCTTCTGCTTGCAATTCCTTGCCCCCAGGCATCCAAGGGTTTGTAGTCTTCTGGTAGTTTTCATATGCTGCGGAACCTGCCACTGCCATCTTTAGCTTCCAACCTGAAGTCCAAACTATGCTGACGATTCTTGTGTGAGCTCCATGTCAGACAAGACAGAAACCAGCACATTGGGCAGAACACGTTAGGACACTGTAAACAGGGGACTTGGAAGTTGGGACGAGTACTCTTGACCACACCATGCTACACTGAGGAGGGGCTGGGGCAAGAACTTGTGAAAACATCATAAAATTTTGTGCCATTTTGCATATGGCTTTTTGGTTTAATTTGGTGGTCACTTGTTTGCTTAGACACTTGACTGGTCTCCAGAGCTCCTATTAAGTTATTTTAGTCAGTCTGGAGTTGTTTCTTTGATGCTTTCATGGTAGAACAAAGGCCTGGTGCTTCTTCCTCCACTGTCTTATTGCTACTAATCTTAACTATATACCAAATCTTTTGAGATTTTAGTTTTCAAATGGGATATTTTGCTAGTCATTGGTGATGGGCGTGGTGGATTCGATACTACAGTTCCCCTAGAAACTCAGCTCCTGGTTGTCCGTCTTTTCTCCTCAGTACAAGCGTGGGGGACCCATCATTGCTGTGCAAGTGGAGAATGAATATGGTTCCTATAACAAAGACCCTGCTTACATGCCCTATGTCAAGAAGGTAAGAGTCTTCTTGGTGTGTTGATTTATATTCTTTCCTCTGGTGTGTGTGATGGGCTGTGGTACGACATGTGGGTTTAATATTTTTATCATGTTAATACGTCTTCCAACATCATCTGTTAGTGAAATTTCTCCATTGCTTTATTTCAACAGGGCTGTCACTTATTTACTTGCTGATTGAATTTCAGCTGGGAATTTCAGTACACACGTGGAATTACAGGGGCTGGGAATAAAGGAATTGGCTTCATTGTGTGGTGATGATTAGGAAGGCCTCCTGGAGAGGCTGCTTCAATTCCAGCATCCAAAGCAGTGGTTCCCAGCCCAGGCTGCACCCTGGCTTTATCTAGGGAGTTTTAAGCAATCCCTGCAGCCAGGCCATGTACCATACCAAGCCAGTAAGAATCCTTGGGGTTCTCAGACACCTGATTTTAGTGTGTAGGGAAGGCTGAGAGCCACTGACTCAATGCATGGCTGGCCAGGGAAGGGCAAAGCCACACTTAAAAGAACAGGCTACAGTTCAGATCTGGTTTCTGTCCCTTAGTAGTTGAGACCATGAAAAAATACCTTGAGTTTTTTCTAAGCCTCCTTTTTCTCTTCTATAAAGTGGGACTAATAAGAGTATTCACCTCTATGAATTGCGAGTATGATGTAATATCACGCGGCTCAGTACTGTTCTAGGAAGTTGCCAATAAAAGAGACCCTGACGGAATCATTGGCATTTGTTGTGTGGTACCTTGGAGGTGTGGCCGTGGTGTGAACTGAGGAAGCGTAAGTGGCTGCAGTGACTCCACCTGTCTGAGGGCTGGATGGCTTTGGGCCTTGATGCCCGGGCAGCATCCCTTCTGCTGTGACATTCGGAGCATTTTCCATCTGGAAATTAATTCAATCCCTCCACATGGGACACCGAAGCTCACACCCTTCAGCTTGTGGGTTCGCATGTACCCTTCTCACCTGCAGAAAGCCCTCTTAGGAGGGAGCAAGGCCGTGTCCAGGAAGGGTGGCGTTCCTCAAGCTGGAAAGGGGCAAGGTCCATCCTATGGCCATGCCCAGCCATGGCTTGGGGTAGGCCACTCCTCCAGCTTCCTACCGAAAGATCCCATCCTGGCCCAGGACTTGAAGCGTCTCCTGCTATACCCCATGTCCTCAGACTGTCTGCTGGGCCCCGGGGCCTCCCAGCAGTTGTTGACTTAGTTACTCACCTGCAGAAAAGAGCCCCACGAGAGCAGAGCAGAGTAGAGCTCCGGCAGCGCTGTCCCTCCACCCCTGCTTCCCTGGTGTCTGGGCGGAGGTGCTCCTGTGTGACTCAGGTGGGCAAAGAGAAGCAGCAGCGTCCAGCCTCTGTGCTCCTGAAGCTCTGAGGAGCATGCCCCAGCCTCCCTGTGAGGCTGCTGGGAGGCGAGAACAGGTGGCCGCCCCAGGCTAGCTCTGGGTCTCCGGTGCTCAGGAAGAAGTAATTATCCCTTGGGGGGTGGAGTCAGTAAACTAATGCCCAGGATATGTTAAGTGTGTGTGTTTGTGGTAGGGACCTAAGTAAACACTTGCGAAACATCAGTGAACCACTCGTTAGTGTGAGGTGGTAAATGCAGGGCTCTTGATAAATCCCACGTGGCCTCACGGCTGAACTCTGCAGCTCCATTGTGCCAAGACTAGAGCCCCCTCTGCTCTTTCCTTCTCAGTATGTGAGACTGGACATGAGCCTTATTCGCCCAGCAGATAATCTCCTTACCTCCCCACTTCCAAAAGACTTCAGTGTAAGTAAACAGTCTTGTCATAATATCTGCAGGGAAGATTACAGGAAGACCCCTCTGCTGGGGTTTCTGATCCAAAAAAGCCCAGAGCCTCAGAGCAGAGTCTCTGGTTCTGGGTTCAGGCCTATGTTGCATGGGCCCTGTAACCCACGATGCTTGACTTCACCCCTCCGAGGCGCGTCTGTACTGCGAAGATATTAACTGTGAGGCCTGCATAGGACAGTCGTGTAAAGTGCTGGGTGGAAGACCTGGTGTGTCAGCGACTGCTCTGTGGACGTCAGGGGACATTCTGAGTGGTTATTGTTGTCATTGCCTCTCAAGCACAGCGTTCCTTCCAGTTCACTCTGCTTTACAGCCTGTGAGGATGCTTCCTGCTGTTCTGGGCATGAGCAGCACACCATGGGCATGTGAAAGGGCATGGTGGGCTCTCCTGGGCCTTGCCATCCCCCAGACCCACACCGGCCAGCGTGGGGAAGGGACAGGCCTGTTGCTTGGGGTGTGGGTGAAGGGAAGGATGTAGGTATCATCCTGCAGGCTGGAGCCCAGCAGGCAGTGGCGGGTGACACATGGCAGCAGGCTTCCCCGAGCCAGCTGTGGCGTAGACCCGCTGAGGCATGGTAGCTGGCCCATGGGGCACCTTCCAGATCTGGAGCAACCAAGGGCTGTCCCGGCTTGCCGGCCCTGCTCCTGCTGCGATGGGAATTCATGCCGATTGGAGCTGTGCTGAGCATGGCCGGTGCAGACGGCAGGAGACTTTGCCAGTTTTCAGCAGAGAAATAAACGCTTTATTTGGCATTTCTCCCTCTAGCTCTTCAGGCTACCCCATCACAGCAGTCGTCACTGCAGAAGCTCTGAGGAGCCAGGGCGTACGCGGACTGATCTGATCTTCCCCTGCAGGCGCTGGAGGACCGCGGCATTGTGGAACTGCTCCTGACTTCAGACAACAAGGATGGGCTGAGCAAGGGGATCGTCCACGGAGGTACCTGCACTTGCGTGGGTCCATGTAGGGCAGCGGCGCCCCTGGCCGGGCTGTGCGCACTTCCCCTGTGGGACTGTGACCCAAGCAGGAGTGTCTCCGGTGTCTGTTCTTTTCCTGTGCGTGTGGCACTGGGCTGCAGAGGGTCGGAGGGTCCGTGTGAAGACTGTGGTGCGTGGCCGGCTGCGTGGGTGATTTCCCGTCCTGCTGGGTGCTCGGGCTTTAAGGGCACTCTGAAGATGACTATGGGCTTCTTGTTACCGGAAAATTGCAGCTCCGTTTTTCCCAGCTGCATGGACCCTGAACCTGGTAGTGACCGTGAGCTCCTCTCCTGTCCGCCTGGCACCCAAGCCACCCTTAGCTTTATCTGCCAGTGTGGCTGGAATTCCACAGGCCTCAGCCCTCACCTGCCGGCGGTGCTCCTGGCCTGCATTGCTGCAGTAGCATTTTCGCCGCCGACTCCACAGTGTGTTCTCAGCCTATCAGCCTCTGCGTCATTTGGCTCACCCTACCTCCCTCGGAACGCCAGGCGTCCCTGTCTCACTCCGAGTGAAGCCCGGGTTCTGGGAATGACCTCGAACGGCCTCTCCACTTGGCCTCCAGGACCTGGCTGAGCTCACTCCCTGCTTCTTCCCCTTTGCTAACTCTGTTCCACCCTCTTTACTGTTCCTCCAACATCTGGAGCCCCAAGCCTCGGGGTCTTTGTTCTTCTTCCGGAGAGCTGCATAGCTCTTCTCCAAAGTCACCGTCACAGGGAAGGTTTCTCTAGCACCCCACTTGGAGTTGAAGCTCCTGCTTCCCGGGGTTCACCCAATCCGTCCGTCTCCCGGCTTTCGTTTTGCGCTCTCACATTCGGCGGTAGTCGACTTCACTGATCTGTTTCACAGAGCAGTGCTCTGGGCGGGCCTTGGGCTCCGACCGCCTGCGGCTGTGCTCCAGGCCCAGGCGTGGTTTGTGTCGTGGGTGGGCGCAGCGCCCTCGCATCCCCTGCGGCAGGGCCCTTCCTGCAGCCTCGGGCAGGGGCGCTTGTGTCTGCTGTAGCACATCCCACGCTTTCTTTTCCTTCTTTTGCATTTCCCTTCACAGACCGAGCTGCTGAAGATCGCTCTATATCCCTACAGCAGCGCCTGGCCTGGGGCTGACACTCAGGGAGTGAAGGTCCATGCATGGGGAGGAAAGGGCTTTCGTCCCCAGGCGAAGTGAGTCAGGCAAGGACCCAGACCCTGTGCATCTGGTGTGGGGAGGACCCGTGGTGATTCCCGAAGTTTCCACGCGGTGGCACTGTGTCCCCACCGTGCTCCTAAGGCCTGCTCCGGGCTCCGGAGGGGCTGTGGCTGTGCAGGAGATGCCTTTTGATGCTGGAGCGAGTTTGTAGTGCTTGGCGGTCTCCCGGTTACAGGCCTCACATCTAGCCAGGAGTCTCTACTGCTTCTCCCTGTGGCCCTCCCACCTCCAGGCACCCACCTGCACATGTCCCTGGTGCCACCTGCTGCCTGGAATGATTTTTTTTTTTAATTAAAAAAATTAAATGGTCTAAAAGTGAAATAATAGAAAATGTTGGTAGAGAAAGATAGTGTTGCCTACTCGTCATCACATTGTCCAGAAATGACCATTTTCAAGTCTGACTTTTTCTTGGGATATTGTACTTCTTAATTCTAAATACTGTGCACATAGAACCCTGCGTCATTTGCCTTAAACTTCTGCCTATTGACTTGTTCCAGTGGGTGATGAGTGTTCTTTCCTGCCCTCCCTGCCCTTTCCTGCCAGCATGGCTGTTCAGCCCCCGGGGGCGCCAGCGAGGGCCTTGTGGGTGTGTGACTGCGGGCACCTGCCACGTGCCTGTGAATTCTCAGGGTGCCAACCCGCTCGTTTTGCAGTGTGCTTCGTTTTCTGTGTAATTATTCTGTTTGTTTTTCTTTTCATTTCAATTCTCTTTGCTACCCTCAACCCCCTGCCGCTTTCTCCTTTGCTTAGAGAGGTCCCAGACACATGTGCCGGTGCGTCTCAGGTCCCATACCTGTCTGATTCGGCTGGGTCCGACCCGGCTGTCTGGAGGCCTCCCTCTCGTGGTTCAGGCCTGCATGGCGGCATCCCACGTGGAATCCCGTCTCCTGGAGTTCTGCGGGCATTGCTCCAAGACTTCCCGGCACCTGCTGTTGCTGCTGCAGGACAGGACGCTCCGGTTCCCGAGCCCTCCCTGTGTCCTCTCCCTTCCTGCCGGCCCTCCTCTTCGTGTTGTGCTGCGGGTCCTGTGAGCTCCCTGTGTGCGTCTCTGGTGGCCTTCCACACACTTGTCCTCGGGTCTTTCAGTCATCCTGGTGTTTGTGTATTGAGTGCTCGTATTGATTCTCTGCGTCTTTTTATTTTTCTTTCTTAAATCTCTTTGCCCTTCAGTTTTACTTTCTGAGTGACTTCCTGAACTTTTATCTTCCGGTCCTCCCGTCATTTCCTGGGTCACATTTTTCTTGAATGTATTTCTCTTCTCACAGCATACTCTAAAAATGGATACTAACTTTCTTATTTCTCTCCGAGAGTAGTTTGCTTTTTTAAAAAAAACGCTGCCTGTATTCCCCACAACCCCACCCCGTGCCGCCCGTGTTCCTGTCCCCGGCGCCGCCCGTGTTCCTGTCCCCTGAGCTCCTCGTGTTCCTGTCCCGGGTGCTGCCAGGGTTGTTTCCCAGGTGCTGCTTGCCTGTTTTCCTGCTTCCTGTTCCACTGTCTCCTGCACAAGGGGATTCTCTGGATCGGCTCTTACCCATCAGCTTAGAAAAGAGGCTCTGGGCTGCCACTCGGGAGCGCTGGGCATGGGAGAGACTGTTGACGGTTCTTCCCCATGGGGTGATTGGGCCATGGTGGCTTTTTCAAGAAGAGACACTCACTTGTCAGGGTTTAGGGTATGTCTAGCACTGTTAAGTGTTTCCAGAGAAGGCCTGGAGTCTTGCTGCCGCTGTTCTGGGCCAGGCCCGGAGCGGGCGGGAATCTACTATGGAGACTGCCTGCTTCCCCCTCCTACCCTCCCTTCCACCTCCCCACACACGCACACTCCCTCCCACCCTCCCTTCCACCTCCCCACACACGCACACTTCCACAGACACTGGGGCCCGCTTTCTCAGGTGGGATGGCCCCTGCAGAGGGGATGGGAGCAGGTGAGAACAAGCATTGAGGCTGGGGATGGGGTGCCACCTCACGGTGCTCTGGGCCTGGTGCTGGGAGTGGGGTGAAGCCTTTGGACCGGAGCTGGAGCCGACTGTCACCTCTTCTGCACTCCTAGATGGTTTACTGTCACTGTGTCCTCTGTGTCCCAGGAGTTCTCGATGACTCCTCTCGTTCCTGTTCCTGGTGGCCCGTCTATGTGTCCCCCCGTCTTGTATTTGTGAGAGGTGTCAGGAAGGAAGGACGGAGATGCTTGTGTTCACTTAGCTATGTGCATGCTGTGGACTTTAAGGCTTCAGTCTGCTCAGTTTCAGAGTGGCCTCCTGTCTTCAAAGGGCTTCTGGCTTGAGGGGAGGGGGGTCTGGGTGCAGGGTCTTACCCAGTGGGTTGCTGGAGGGCAGTGCTCAGGCAGGGCCATGGGTTGGTGTCACGGGGTCCCAGTGTTCAAACCTGTTCTGCAACTACCTTGAGTCAAATTATTGTGACCTGGAGGCAAGTTATCGCACCTCCACAGAGCCTCAGCTGCTGTTTGCGTTTCTTCACTGGCAGTCAGAGGTTTGTGTCCTGCAGCACAGAGTCAAGGTGGCTGGGCCTGCCAGGCCAGCTCAGCCTCTCTCGTGTGTGCTTAGGCCTGTAGAAGCCCAGGCCACAGCCATGCGCCTGAACTGACTGTTAGGCAGACATCAGGCAGGTGAGGGGCCCCGGGGTCAGGCTGTGCTGCTGGGGTGGGTGCGGGGATCCCTGGCTGTCAGTCCAACAGAACGCACATTTATTGAACATATATTCACTGATGGAAAGCCACTGAAAATAGCATTTTAAATTGTAAAAGGAACGTGTTACGGGGTCGAATACAGAATTAGCCCTTCTCAAGAAGTCAGAGAGGAGTCTTCATTTAGATCATTACCCTGGACCAGATGCTTGGGGTGCCAAGGAAGGATCAAGCTCTGGTTCTTACAAAAGAAAGGGACGGAAGTGCACACTCGGCTTGTAGAAGTCACAGCTGATCGGATGTGAGGGCGATCTGGCTGCGACATCTGTCACCCCATTGATCGCCAGGGTTGATTCGGCCGATCTGGCTGGCTAGGTGGGTGTCCCCTTCCTCCCTCACCGCTCCGTGTGCGTCCCTCCCGAAGCTGCGCGCTCGGTGGAAGAGGATGACCATCTCCGATAGAGGAGGACTGGTCTTCGGTCGAGGGTATACGACTAGCTGTGCTTCCCTGCCAGAACGTCCAAACAAGCTCTTCAGGTCCATTTGTAGGAGAACGTAGGGTAGTCAAGCTTCCAAGACTCCAGACACATCCAAATGAGGTGCTGCATGTGGCAGTCTGCCTTTCTTGGGGGGAAAAAAAAAAGAAGTGACAGCTGATCAAGGTCGGGTGTCTAGCGAGTGACTGCCTCTCAGCTCTGTGCTGCGTGGCAGAACCTGCAAGACCACAGAATAAGTCTGGCTGACTTATTTATTTTTGCGAGACAGAGTCTCACTCTATTACCCAGACTAGGGTGCAGTGATGTGATTTTGGTTTACTGCAACTTCCGCCTCCTGGGTTCGAGTGATCTTCCCACCTCAGCCTCCCGAGTAGCTGAGATCACAGCCATGCACCACCAAGCCTGGCTAACTTTTGTGTGTTTTTTTTTATTAGAGATGGGGTTTCACCATGCTGGCCAGGCTCGTCTTGAACTCCCGGCCTCAAGTGATCTTCCTGCCTCAGCCTCCCAACGTGCTAGGATTACAGGTGTGAGCCACTGTGCCTGGCTGTGGTTGCCTCCTAATTGGAGGTGGGAAACAGTGGGCTCAGGGGCAATGTTTTGTCTCCTCTCTCTCCTCTTCCCCGTAACAGTGCTGGCCACCATCAACCTGCAGTCAACACACGAGCTGCAGCTACTGACTACCTTTCTCTTCAACGTCCAGGTAAGTCCAGCCCTAGGGAAACTGCCACCCGCCCTGCTCAGCGGCCTGCAGGAGTTTTGAATGCCAGCCAATGTGCTCAGCTTCCCCAGTGCAGGGAGCTGGACTCAGAGCTGTTGGCCTCTCGGCCGGCCGCCCGCCCATGCGTCTGTGTCCCGGCGAGGCCCGCTACCCACAAACAGCTCCGAGGGCTGCTGTGCAGGCTGACGCAGGGCAGACGGCACCCACTGCCCCGGGAGAGGGGCCCTTTTGGTGCATTCCTAGAGGACTCGACTTTTGTCACCTCAGCCAGCTCTAGATTTGCTCCCAGGGATTGAGGGGGAAGAAAAATTTCCCTGTCCTATACTACATAAGGCATCTAGCCTTAACCTGTGAGGCCTCTGCAGTCCTAGAAAGATCAGTATTATCAGCAAGGCAGAAAACATGGTCCACTCTAGGTCTAGAGAGAGGGAGGAGTTTCCAGATGTCCCTCAACATCCGTCAGACTGATGAGCATCGACGCCGCACTCCCATTCTGACCTCTCTTGAGCTCATGTGCCCCTCAGAAGGAGACAGATGGACTGGGGCCAAGCCTGCAGCCCTCTGCAGAGCTGGAGGCCCTGGCTGTCCCCTGGCTCACTGAGTGGTGGGAACACCCCGGACTGTCCCCCTGCCACATGGTCACACTGGTCCCGGGCCTGGAGTGGAGCTGTGCTAGGATGGACAGGCATGGGTGCCTGTGGAGATGCTGGGCTGCTTTCCATTCCAGCTGATGGTCTTTCAGAGCAGGGCTGCGCCCTCAGGCACATCTGTGTGGAGCCACCACGGCTGTATGTGACCGCATGTGTGTTTGCTGTGGCTCCTCCTGGAGTGCAGATGCCAGAGTGGGCAGGCGGCTCCCAGGAGGAAATGGGAGGGCTGGCCCCACTCCCAGGTGGGCTCCTGTGTGGCGGCTCAGACAAGATCCAGCAGGGTCCCAGCCTTCCTTCCTCAGCATTTCCTGAGTGCCTACCCGTGTGTGCAGTGGGGTTCGGGGTGGGGGGCTCTCATACTTGTGACTAAGATGACTGGGACTCCCGCCCTGTGCTGTGTGACCTTGGGCAAGTTACTTAACCTCTCCGTGCATCTCTTTCTTCTTCTAAGTGAGAATGATGATTGTCCATCACTTTATGGTGTCAAGTCACAGGGTTGTTGGACGATTACATGAGGTAATATTTGGAAAGTACCCAGCACAGCAGCTGATACAGCAGAATGCCTTATGTTTAGCCTGCAAGGTCATGCTTAGAGAGGTAGCCATGTCCCAGCCTTCCCAGGCTGGCTGTCTTGCTAACAGAATGGCCCTGCTGAAGTGCTTTCTGTGCACAGTCCAAAGATGTCTGCTGTCCTTAAGGAAGGGCACTTGGACACCTCCTTGTCTGAATCAGTGCCTCTCTGAATGCACAGTGCAGACCCCACGTGTGCTCCACGTGGCGATATCCAGTGGCACCTCACTTGTCCTCTGTGTCCACGACTCACGATGGGGAGAACTATGCAGGTGTTTCTTGAGCACTTCCTACCCGCCAGGCACAGTGTGCTAAGGGCATTACTTGTACTCTCTTGTTTAATTCTCCGTAGTCACATAAGCTAGTGAAGGAGACAGCCATAGAGGGCCTAAGGCACCCTGTAAGGGGTGGCTTGGGAACTGCAGTCTGACCGCAGGGCTCCAGCTCTTGGCCGGTGGTTGTGCAGTACAGTGGCCTGGCCCATGTGTGGACACCCACCTCCTCAGCCCTGGTACCCCCACGCCAACCAGCTCGCTTCTGGCGTGGGAGATTTCTGACTTGCGGGACTTCGAATCCGCATCTCCCTTTTTAGTGACTTCAACGTGGTGCCGTGTGCCTCCTTCTTGGGAGGTAGGTGGCTTGTAAAGAAAACCACGCTGCCAGTCTTGCTAAAAAAATTCTTGTAACTACTTTGGCTTTAACCTTCTACTTAACGGACCGTAAGTTTGTCCTGTTCCCTGTGTATGCAGTTGCCCTCTGAACTTAAGGCCATCACTGATCTAGAGAATACTTGATGAACTGTCACTGAATGAGTGAGGAAGGCCGCCTTGCACAGAGCCTGAAATACTAGCGTGTTAGTAGAAACCCCAGGCGCTCTGGGTTTCTGCAAACATGGCAGAGTGGGACATGGTCCCAGGAATGATCTTGGCCTGCTTGGGGCAGTCCTATGCCAAAGTCAGTCTTCAGAAAGAAGATTTAAGATTTGTTGAGTGACCTAGCCAGGGTATAAATCCAAATTGTGGCTGCAGAACCTGCACTGTGAATAGCTGCGCTATAAGACCCTGGTTTTCTGGTCAGAAAATGCTGCAAACTGCTGTTTAAACTGAGCTGGACCTTGAAGAGGGCCCACTCTACGGCATCTGATTATTCTGCTAATGAAGGGAGTACCCGGGGGGTCCGCGTCCACATATCCCTCTCAGATATGGAGTTGCCCTGGGTAGAACATCCCCCTTCCCTGGAAGAGGACAGGCAAAGCTTGGCTTGATCCAGAAAGCAAACGGGTGTCTTCTTGCTAGCAGACGTGCAGCATGAAAACCATCAGGGTTTGCCATAGTGACTTTGGGAGCTTTTTTGGCTCTCTACCTGCAGGTGTGGAGTCCACATGTGACAGGAGAGCTGGTGGTGTGCAGGTGAATTTGGCCCTCACCTCTGTCCCACCTCCAAAGGCCTCTAGGCAGTGGATATGCAGCCAGGGGAGAGTGGAGACGGCAGAGATCCTGGGGCTCCCCTCCACGAAGCGCTTCCCTCTTTTTCGTCTGGCCAGTCTGCATGTCTAACTCTCATTTTGTGGTGTCCAGGGGACTCAGCCCAAGATGGTGATGGAGTACTGGACGGGGTGGTTTGACTCGTGGGGAGGCCCTCACAATATCTTGGATTCTTCTGGTGAGTGCTTGCAGTTACTACATCCAGCATGTGTGCTACTTAGGAAGTGACGATGAGTTTCAGTCACCTGCTAACTGATGTAAGTCAGCCACAGTGGGGGCAAGACTGCTGGGATTATCTGTGTGCAGAAATTGACTGGATATTCCTGAGTCATTTGTCTTGACACTTTGCTGAATAGGAAGGCTTTTAACATTGCTTGTTCATATTTTTGTAATTAGAAGGATAATGCATGCTTATTGGAAACATCCGGAAATTACAGAAAAAGGATAGAGAAGAAATAAAAATCCCGGAGCCCAGAAAAAACATTTAGATGTATCCCATGCAGGCAGTTATTTATATAGCTCTACCGACAGCTCTGTAGGCACACACAAAGACAGATGCACTCACACTCCACGGCATCACCTGCTTGTGCTAGTTAATGCACATACGGACAGTTTTCTATACGACCAAATACAGATTGACATCACCGTTTTAAAGCATGTGAGGAACCCCATTCTAACCCACGCTTTGACGACCCAGTCCCTCGGGTCAGTGGTTCCGTGAAGCGCCATCTGGGTGAGCGTCCCGGAGCCTGCGCTCTGCGCACCTGGCTTTCCCTGTGATGTGCGCACAGCCGCGCCTTGATGCCATGTTGATGCGCATGGTCACCCCTCAGCCCCCTGAAAGACGGTGGCCGCTTCAACCACAGCCGCTGAATGAGCGCACCCATTTCCCACAGATTCAGCAACACTGAGTATTAAAATAACTTTTAATATTTGTCTACTCAGCACATAGTTTTTAGTCTGCATTTCTTTGATTTATATTAATAAAATATATATTTATCAGCCATTCGTTTTCTGCTTTGCTATGATCTTGTCATGTCAGGGTTCACTTCCGAACAAAGGCAGAAGAGGGGAGGTATCAGAGTTTTCTCTCTAGGGATGTGTCCCATCTTTGTGCATTGGAGACACTTGGTCAGGCAGATTTCGCCTGACGAGATCGTGCTGGCTGCAAGGCCCGGGCCGGCCTGGGCTGCAGGTGGTCTGCATGGAACTCGGAGGCTTGACCAGGATTTACAAACAACTGGAGGCTGGAGCTCCGGGGCCGTGATTCTGGCCCATACTTCCTCCATCCCTAATCCTCTGTGATTGGGGTTTTAGTGAGAGCTAGAAGGACAGAGTAACAAGGCTGGCCTTGAGGTGGGACTGGGAAAGAGGAGAGTAGTGAAGAGACCCCGGCTCATCTAGGACATTAAGTCACTCTGCACATCCCCTTTCTCCCTCTTCCGGCAGAGGTTTTAAAAACAGTGTCTGCCATCGTGGACGCCGGCTCCTCCATCAACCTCTACATGTTCCATGGAGGCACCAACTTTGGCTTCATGAATGGAGCCATGCACTTCCATGACTACAAGTCAGATGTCACCAGCTACGGCAAGTATTCAACAACACTGTTTTCCCTGGTCTGCCCTGCATGGGCATGGCTGGGGCTTGCTGTGGAGAGGCCCTCAGGGTCAACTTCTGGCACTTTCAGTGTCTTTGGCAATAGAGTACCTGGAGAAGGTAGGGGCTTTGCCTGGACAGTCATATTACACTTCCAGAGGAGGGCTGCCTCAGGCCAGGTGGTGTGCCTGTGACCAGGCCACGCTGCAGAGAGGCCTCTTTGGCAGAGGTTGGCCAGAGGAATTGGAAAGAGGACCCCTTAGGGTGACAGGGAGGGACAGTGTCAGGGAGGCCCTCCCTGCCCAGGCCCTTGAGGAGGTGTGAACCTGCACCCTTTGAGAGTCTCAGAAAGTAGAAATTACACCTGCAGCTAGAAATTTAGGGCCCCGCTGTGATCATGGACAGTTTGCGTTTTTCGAGTCTGTGAGAGTCTCACACTATCACCCAGGCTGGAGTCCAGTAGTGTGATCATAGCTCACTGCAACCTCAAACACCTGGGCTCAAGCAGTTTTCCTGCTTCAGCCTTCTGAGTGGCTGGGACTACAAGTATGCACCCAACCCCTGGCTAATTTTTAAAATTTTGTCTAGAGATGGGGTCTTGCTGTGTAGCCCAGGCTGCTCTCAAGTGATCCTCCTTCCTTGGCCTCCCAAAGTGCTGGGATTACAGGTGTGAGCCACTGCATCCGGCCTCATGGACACTTGCTGTAGATGCGTGGTTTTTCGTGTCTACGGTATTTTGTCTGAATGGCTCAAAAGTTTCTTGCCTCCCCAATGGCTGAGATCAAGACCTGTTGCCCTTCTGAGCTTTTCCCTGTGCATGCTGCCACGTGTGTTGTGCTGGGGACAGGAATGACCATGACAGGGCCCGGTATCTTGTAGACTATGACGCGGTGCTGACAGAAGCTGGAGATTACACGGCCAAGTACATGAAGCTTCGAGACTTCTTTGGCTCCATCTCAGGTACCCAGCAGCAGCAGGCTCAAGTGTCACCTCAGGTCCCCGTTTCTGCTGTCGGACCCCTAAAGAGTTCCTTACTGACCCACCTCCACCCTAGTTCATCTGTGTGGAAGAATGTCCTGGACGAGGACAGGGAGGTGTGCGAGGCTGCTTCCTCGCAGTCTTCATCTTGCCAGCTTCACCTGTTACAGGTGTGAAGGCTCCTTATCTCCTCTGGAGGACGGGAGAACGCCCCCAGCCTGCCCCCAGGCCTGGCCTTCCTCCCCTGGCCTCGGCCAGTACTAAGAGCTGGCCTGTTGTTCCTCTTGGTGCTGGGATGCAGCAGCACGTTGGACCTATGGATGGGAGCTGGGTGGGGAGGACGAGCAGGTGGTGACATTTGGGTTCCTTGGGGTTGACCCTGTTATCTGTGTGTTGCAGGCATCCCTCTGCCTCCCCCACCTGACCTTACTCCCAAGATGTCATACGAGCCCATAACGCCAGTCTTATACCTGTCCCTGTGGGACGCCCTCAAGGGCATGGGGGAGGTGAGTGCTGGGGGCAGTTGTGGGGGCAGCACGGCCCAGAACCCCTGCAGATAGGGGGTGTGGGGGAGAAAGGCCAGCGCCTGAGGACTCTGAGGTCCGCTCTCCAGCCTTGGAGCCCAGAGTGGAAAGGACAAACTCATGCTGGAGTGTGCTGTGGGGAGAAACAAAGGCCCTTGAGGGACAGTGGGGGGCCCCTGGGCCTTTCCTTCCTCCAGCCTCAGAGAGGAGAGTGAGGGAAGAGGAACAGGCTGCCCCCTCCCCGAGAAGAGGGTGCCTCCTCCAGCGGACTGAGGGGGGCTGATGAGTGTCCCCCACCTGCAGGCTGCAGTCTGCTGGTGCACATCCCTTTGTCCCGCCCGCTTCCCCGTCACCCTGGAGAGTTGTAGGTTCAGTGCCATTAGAAGTCAAAACAGAAAGCTCCTGCCACACCCCAGCTTCCACCCCATGTGCCAGCTCCCAGGCAGAGTCTGTCTATGACCGCACTTCTCCTCAGCCTGCCTGCTCCTCTGTCTCTTCTGTACGCAGCCAATCAAATCGGAAAAGCCCATCAATATGGAGAACCTGCCCGTCAATGGGGGAAACGGACAGTCCTTTGGATACATACTCTATGAGACCAACATCGCTTCGTCCGGCATCCTCAGCGGCCACGTGCGTGATCGGGGACAGGTAGGAGCTTCTCTTCTAATTCCTGTGACCTTCTGGTGAGCAGCCCTGCAATACGCATCTCATGCCCTCCCCTCAGAATCAGCACTTGCCAGTGTGTAAAAATGGCCCGTCTGAATCAGCTCTGCGAGTCTTCACAGGGGCATTCATTTCTGCTGTGCCCACTGGCCCCTCGTCTGCCCACGGGCACACAGTGCTGCCCTTCTTGGCCTTGTGGAGACCCCGCTTACCCTCTTCCTGTGGGCCATGGATGCTCCCATCTGCTCCCTTTGACAGGTGTTTGTGAACACAGTATCCATAGGATTCTTGGACTACAAGACAACCAAGATCACTGTCCCCCTGATCCAGGTTTGTTGTCTTTCGGAGCTGGGTGATGGCTAGCCCCTGCCGCTTCGAGGAAGCCTGGGGGGAGTCACTGAGGCAGACCTGGGGACCCGTGGCTCCTTAGCCACAGGCTGCAGGTGGAGAGGGCGAGCGTGGCTTTCTGCCCAGCTGGGATCCCCAGAGTGTACGGAAGAACTGGGGCTCACAGGCCAGTTCTGAGGGGTGGCTGTGGCCTTCTGGAGGTCATTGCTGGCCCCTTGTTCCCGGCAGGGTTACACCGTGCTGAGGATCTTGGTGGAGAATCGCGGGCGAGTCAACTACGGGGAGAATATTGATGACCAGCGCAAAGGTGGGTCCCAGCACATGTTGAAAGAAGAGCAGATGTGCTGGGCACGTAGGTGGCTCTTGCTGCTCTATGCCAGCATGCCACCAGGCCGTGGAGGCCCCTTGCAGAGAGAGGTGGAGGCTGGGTTGTCCCATATCTGAGGCCAGTTCTGAGTGGCCCACTGAAGCCCTGCTGGGGCTGTCTGGAAGAGGAGAAGCCGCTGGGGCTCTCTGGAAGGCTGTCTGGAAGATGACAGCCCTGTGAGCACTGCACATGTGTATCGTCCATGTGCTCAGTGCCGGTGATCACTGAGCTGGCCTCTTGCTTCTCCTGGGCTGCAGTCGGTTTCCACAGGGATGTCTGCTTGGGGGATGGCGGTGAGGAGCAATGAATGGGATTTCCAGGAATCCAAGGAACGGCACAAGTCCCCTGCCTTCTTGGGCCTCCACACTGATTTCTCTTCTTGATCCATCTTGGGAAATCCACAGCTTACCTCGGGTGCTGGGGGAGGAGGATGCGAGTCACACAGCAAACAGTGCCCCTCTGGGAATAGGCTGCCAGTTTGCTTTACGTTTCCTGGCCTACTGGATCTTTCATGCTTTAATGTAGCCCTTCCTTTAAAAAAACTCTAGCTAAATGTGGGTGGTTTCAGGTAAGTTATTAAAAAATGAATGCCACTGTGGTGAGCAGCACTGGTGACCTCCCCGTTCTCTCGTGGTGTCTGCATGTATAGTGCAGGAAACTTGAAGAGCTCTTCTTGGTCCACATGTCATCCGAGAGCCGTCTGGTGGCTTGCCAGGAAAGCAGCATGGCCCAGACACTGGGGCCTGGGGCCTGGGGATCACGGCCCCTCCAGACAGGCCTCAGAGCTGCATCCAGCACCACCCAGACCCACACTCCTTTTCCCTCAGCAGCTCCCTCCCTGGGCCGGTCCACACTTCCGTTGCAACCCTGGGAGTTGGAAGGAGCACCAGCCTGACTGTTGTTCCTGTCTTTGCCTCCCTGACCCCTCGATGAGGGTCCCCGGGCCCCCATTGTAGAGGCCTGTCTTCTGGATCACAGTTCAATGTTTACAAGTCACAGACCTCCCTTGAGAAATGTGTGTGCCCACCTACACCTGCACCTGCTGCTTCAGAGTCTGTAGGCCCCATGAGGCCTCTGCACAGTCCCAAGCCTCCAAACTCCCACGCTGCCCACTCAGCCGCTCTGAGATCTGAGACTGGCAGTGCCGGCCGGGCCCCGGAGACCGATGAGTGGCTCCTCAAGGGGACACAGCTTCTCCCTGCTGGATGCCTGAGTGAGGGTGTCATCCGATCACAGTACAGATACTCCTAAAGCACAGCTTTCATCCTGGGTGGCACAGATGACTTCTGCCTGAGTTACTCGGTCTGTGTAGCCTGGGCCCCACTGAAACTGGCCCTACAGCTAGGCTGGAACCCTCTCGGGTTCCTTCAGAGAGAGGCCAGAGGCTGTTCCTGCCCTGTAACACCTCAGCTCTATGTCCTTCCCATGGCAAAACCAAGGGACTTCCTCCTTCCCATCCCCCATAGAGTTGCTAGGGAGCCTTGCTTGCAAGTGAACAGTGCCTCCGGGAGCGTGCACGTCAGCACTCCTCACCCCAGCTTCCCAGGGCCTCTCCTCGGGGCCCTGGCCCGGCCAACTCGGCCTCTGCCTTTGGACTACCCACGTGTCCTGCCTTCCTCCCACAGGCTTAATTGGAAATCTCTATCTGAATGATTCACCCCTGAAAAAATTCAGAATCTACAGCCTGGATATGAAGAAGAGCTTCTTTCAGAGGTGGGTCCCTGCCCAGCACCAGCACGTGCTCTCATAGGTACAGCGCTGTGCAGTGGGGCCCGGGGGTCCCTAGGGCACTGTGGCCTGGCCCTCACCCAGCTGTGAATGCACCCAGGGGCCAGATCAGCTGGCCCAAGGTGAGGGGCAGCATCCGCACTGGAAGCCTCGTTTGCAGACTAGGAATTCTCAGCATCTTACTCTGCTGCCGTTCTGTGTCCTGGTTAAGAGGTGGGCGGCCTTGGAATTAGCTGCAGGACTGGGACCAGATCTGAGGAAGGGCCTCCTCCTTCTCCTGCCTCTCATTCTGTCCTTAGGTTCGGCCCAGACAAATGGAGTTCCCTCCCAGAAACACCCACCTTCCCTGCTTTCTTCTTGAGTAGCTTGTCCATCAGCTCCACTCCTTGTGACACCTTTCTGAAGCTGGAGGTTGGTAGCCCTCTTTCTCTGCTGGATTCTCCCACTTCCCTCTCACCTCAGAGGTCTCTGAGCCAAAGCCACATGAGCTTGGCGGGAGCCCTTGGTGGCTGCTGTGCCCAGAGGGTCTGAGAGGGTGCTGGGGCCTTCCTGGGCCTGGGGAGTGGGCTCACAGCAGAAGTCTGAGCTTGGGGGCCATGCCTGGGAGGCGTGGCACTGGGGCACGGAAACAGAGCATCCCGCCTGCTCACCCTTATGGCTGTCCAGACACTGGCTCGCTTTGGTCTCTCGGACCCGAGAGAAGCACGCATGGTGTGTGTCTGCCTTGACTTTTGCTGTGGCTCTTGTGGGAGACGAACACCCTTCCCTCTGTCTCAAGGGCTGGGAGAAGGGGGTTGTATTCATCAACGGCCAGAACCTTGGACGTTACTGGAACATTGGACCCCAGAAGACGCTGTACCTCCCAGGTCCCTGGTTGAGCAGCGGAATCAACCAGGTGGGAGCTTCCAGCCCCTGCCCATTCCCTAAGATGCCCTGCCCAGCTGCCCTCCCAGGGAGCCTTTGGTCAGGGTGGCGGGGATGCAGGGGTGTCAGCCGGGTTCTTCCTCCCTCCTCCTCGCTGCAGACGAGTTGTTTGGTCCCTGTCCCTTCCAGCCGGGTTCCCAAACCCTTTCCTTCTGACCTTGCTGCCCGCCAGCACCTCCCTTGGCTCCAGGACAGACCTCAGTTGCCCTCCCATCAGGGCCCTCTCTCCGTAGGTCATCGTTTTTGAGGAGATGATGGCGGGCCCTGCCTTACAGTTCACGGAAACCCCCCACCTGGGCAGGAACCAGTACATTAAGTGAGCAGCCGCGCCCCCTCCTGCTGGCGCCTGTGGGAGACTGCCGCCTCCTCCTGACTTGAAGCCTGGTGGCTGCTGCCTCACCCCTCCCCTGCAAAAGCGTCTCCTTCAGTAGCAATCTCAGGGACTGGGCGCTGCAGTCTGCCCTGCCTCCGCTCCAAACCCTGAGCCTGCAGGGAAAGGTGGGGTGGCTCTGGGCCTGGCTGTGTTGATGATGCATTTCTTACAGCCCTGCTCTTCTGCCAAGGCTGCCGGGCTGTCTCTGGGGTGGGAGCGGCTGATCAGATCGTCAAGCCTTTGGCCTCAGAAAAGGTGCTGAAACGTGCCCCTGCCCCGGAAATCACAGCCCTCGAGTGTCTGCTGGATTCAGGCGTGCTCTTTGCTGGTTCTTGGGAGGCTCGGCCACATCCCTCACAGTTCCTTTTATCCCCAAAACTGTGGGCGTGTCACCAGTGGAGAGGGTGGGGAGGGGGTGTCTCACCTGAGCTGACTTTGTTCTTCCTTCGCAACCTTCTGAGCCTTCTTTGGGATTCTGGAAGGAACTCTGTGTGAGAAACATGTGACTTCCCTTTTCCCTTCCCACTCGCTGCTTCCCACGGTGACAGGCTGGGCTGGAGAAACCAGTCCTCAGCCCTGCGTCTTCCTGTGTTAACGAGTGTCTCTGCTGCTCATTGAGGAGGACGTGTGGGTCCCGGCAGAAGCCATGGCCCCTATCTGCACGTCCAGGGAGGAGGGACAGAAGGCCCAGCTCGGTGGCCCCTGCCCCGAAGCCCTCCTCCCAAGTGTGTCCACATCTGCCTCTGAGCCTTGTTCTGGGGCTCAGCCCAACAGCTGGCATGGGCTCTCTGTCCTGAGTTGCAGTAAAGCGGCAGTGTTGAATCACACCCCCTCTGGTGACAGTGGTCACGTGTGCCACTCTTTGCAGAGGGGAAGGCTGTCTGTAAGATGAGTTTTGTTTTCTCGGTCAGGTTCCTGCTGGGCCCCACTGCTGCCCAGGGGTCCAGACTTGGACCATCTGTGGGGTGGGTGGGCCCTGATCCTGGCCTCATACTCTCCTCCTGACCCCACCTCCCCTTCAAATGTTGCTGGATTAGAAGTGTCCTGGAGAGGACAGGTCAAATGCAAATTCATTCTCATGCTGGCGGACAGGGGTAAGAATCTGCCAGGCAGCCAGGGGCGCTATATATGAGTTAACTGTGGGGCTGAGTTTTGCTTCACAAACTACATCTGGCATCTACTGCCAAAAGCAAATAATCTCCAGTAACAGTCAAAAAGTCAAGTAGCACACACATCCCCGGCACAGTGAGAGCTCTGAGCCCCATGAAGGTGGGCTGGGAAATGGTGGGCGGTGGAGCTCACTAAGGCCAGCAGGCTTGCTGCCCGAGTATGGCTGCCCAGGGGAAGGTGCAGGGGACATTCATGGTGTGCAGCCCCGCAGCTGAGCTGGGTCAAGGGCTTATTAAATGAAGCTCATTAAAGGGAAGCTTGTGGACAGTGTCCTCGCTTTTGCCCAGACTCACCGGTTCTTCTGGAACTGCCTTGGAACGGCAAGCCTGGGGCTAAGGTGTGGGTGAGACCGGGGGTACTTGGGTGTGGCCTGAGCTGGGCGCAGGTCATCTGCCGCACTTTACCTGAGTGTGTGCTTCTGCAAAGCTGTGTATGAGCTGCGTTCTGTAGGAAAGTGATGGAACTGGAATGGAAAGGCATCTTCCTGCAAATCCTCCTGTAAAGTGCCTTTGGATCACGCTTCCACGCAGACCTGAGCAGGACACACCGCTGTTTCCGAAGGTGAGGTCGTCTTGTGCCAGCGTCTTATTCTTGCCCTTCTCTTCTGCCAGTTAACTCCCCAGCTTCTCTCTCAAAGTACCTCTTGGCAGAACATACACCCCATTGTTGACGAAAGATTTGTCCATATATTCCACATGGTATGGCCTCATCTAAGTCTCTTTGGAGGATCCTTCATACCTCAGCCTCTGAATGCTGGGGTTCTCTGGCTCACTCCTTGGACTGTTTCTTTCCTGTGTCCACATTCACTGTGCAAGGTCTCACCTGACACCTGGAAGTAGGTTCAACACACACCCGCTGATGCTGGCCTGCACCTGAGCTCTAGGCGTGTGGAAGGCTTTTCTGCACCTTTCTTCTGCATGTATCTAACAGGCACCTGACACAGAGCTCCAGTTCCCCACGTTACCCCTCCTGCACGCAGCCTCCTATCCGGAAATGGCAGCGGTGTTCCGTTTCACAGGCTATTTTGGGTGTCTCTCTTTATCTCCCACATCCAATCCAGAGGCAGATCCTACCGGCTCTGCCTCCTAAACTCGGCTAGAATTTGACCGCTTCTCTCTGGCCCAACCCCTGTGCCCCCCATTCAGCCCACAGCATCTTGGCCTGGATGATTGCAGGAGCCATGCCTCCACCTGCCCTTGCCCTCTGTTTCTCCTCCGCGCAGGAGAAGGGCAGCTCTTCTGAGAGGTGGATAGATTGTTAGTCCGCTGTGCTGGACCCCCGATTGCCTTCTGGTTTCACCTGATGCCTGGGGACTCCCTGCTCTCATGCCACCTCATCCCTCACTGCTGTTTGCCCAGCAGCCCCTGCCCGGTCAGCTGAGCCCGATGGTCTTTCTGTTGCTCTGGAAGCAGGCTGAGCAGCCTGTGTTCCACCTGGTGGAGAGTTCTTTCTCCTTGGACCCAGGGAGCTGCATGTCAGGGTTTGCTGCTTTGCTCAGATGTCACCTTATCAGGGAGGCCTTTCTGGCCACCCTACAGAGCTCCGACCCTTCTCCACTGCTACCCTCTGTCTCCCCGACTCAGTATCATTCTCCATACAACAGATTGCAGCTGAAATACCCCACATTCACTATCGCCCGTCTCCTCTCGTCAGTGGCTCAGTTCCGTGAAGACGGGGGCCATCTTTTTCATTGCTGTGTGCCGGCTCCTAGAAGCACGCCTGCTTGTAACAGACATCTGATAAATACTTGTTGGGTAGCTAAATTAACAAATGAGAATAAAATAAGGCAGGGCTGAAGAGGATTAGGACTGTTAAAAACTGTATTTGACTTTTAATTTCGAAAGCAAATTAAATACAGTGAAATTAAAACAGACCAGATGCAGCTGCCTGGATGCCACCCTCGCCCCAGCCTCTGTTCTTGGAACTCCCAGCCCCTGGCCTCACTCCTTTGTGGTGGGGCTTGCCAGCAAGGGAACAGGGAACAGACTGGGTTTGGAAAACAATCGTCATCATGGACCCATTTCTGATTTATAACAAACTCATTCCCAACAAAGATGAAGGCTGCAGCCCACCAGGGTTATAATTATAAATAAATATACATGCAGCTAAAAGAGGATATTAGGTGAAAACATCTGACCTAGCATCTGCCAAAAGAAGTCCCCCCATTTTGTGGTCCGTTGTCAATTTCCTGAAAATGAAACCTGGGTTTTTGGCTAAGAAGGTGGCCTCAGACCAGTCAAGCTGATCTTGGCACTCAGGGCTGGCTTCCGTGAGTGAGGCAGGAGCACACCTAAGTTCAGCCCCTGTGAACCTCCCCGCATGCCACCCCACTTGCTTCCAAGGGCTTGGTTTCCAAAATGGCATCCAGAGTGTAAGAGGTGGGAAAAATGTCCTGCAAGGTGGCTTGGAGATCTGATTCCATCAGATGGTCTCATGAACACTGAGGGAGGTTAAATCCATCTCAAAATAGGCAGCCAATGCTGTATTCTGAATGTTAGGTCTCTGGACTGAGCCCCACTCACCTGCCCAGTGAGGTGTGGGTTCTGAATGGTCCTCAGACCTGTCCTGGTCAGTCTTAATGGAGTGGGAGGCTGTTAGTTAAAGAATAAATGCCTCTTCAGTGGGCTGGGGCCCTTTCCTCTTCCTCCACGTAGGGGGAAAATTGTGCTTCCAACTTGCAGGAGAATGAGCCAGACCACCACCAGAGAACCCAGCTGGGCCAGGGGGAGCCCAGGCCCTCTCCAGCGGCCCTGGAGGCCTGGGGAGGGCGTGAGGCACACTGTCCTTTCTCTAGGGTGGAAAGTGGGCAGCCGGACACGAGGCAGGATAGCTTTGCATTCTCCCAACTTAGGGGAAGTGACATTTTCTTTCCCTTTTTTGTGTTTAGAGTAATTTCCGAAGCAGTGTGCTTGGGCCTCCTCCTGCTCAGTGTCCCACCAGCCCGGGTCCCCTTTTCCTCCGTCCCTCTGCTACTCCAGAGCCCTCCTCTTCAGGCCAGGGGCAGGAGAGAGCTGGAGTTAGGGAATGGCCTTGGCCTGCCTCCTCTTTCCAGGCTGCAGGAGGTCCCGCCTTGCCCGCCACCCACCGCCTTGCTGACTGCCCACCGTGGGCTCACTCCACCCTGAAGTCTGTGGCTCTGAGGAACTGCAGGAAAAGGCGCCTTCCCTCCCCAGTCCAGTCCAGTCCAAGCGAGGGGCCGAGCAGCCCAGGTGGGTGGCGGGGAGGCAGTGTGTGGACAGAGGTGCCGTGGGGTTCTTAGTCCAGGTCGGGCAGTGACCTGTGCTGCCTCTAGAGCCCACCCTTGCCAGTGCTGGAGGAGAAGGCATGAGGGAAGAGGGGCCAGAGGAGGGGACCCTGCTCCCGCTACAGCCTGAGGTACAGGGGTGCCTATTAGGCCCCGGGCTCCCCCCCATGCAGGGCTGGGTGCCCATTGGGATCAAAGACAGCCGTATGCTCTGTAAACATGAACCAGAGGAGAGCCACAGAGGTATGTCTGATTTGCGGGCAGCTCTGGGAAAGAGCAGGGGCTGGAGAGAGAAGCAGGGCATTTGTGATGCCCGCGGCCTGCTCTCTGGTCGTCAGAATTCCCTGTGTGGTCGTGCTGGGCTCAGGGGCAGGGAGCCAGGGAGAGCCATGCTCCACTGGACTGCAGGGTCTTCCCATCTCCCTCCCGCCTGCATCACTGCAGAGCTGGTGTGGGTGCCACTGCCCCTGCTCCTGCAGCCCCGTCAGTGTGGGGAGCTCCGGCGAGGCATGCTGGAGCAGCAGCTTGGCTGGCGCTGGACACCCCACCCTGACCCTCAGGTCTCTTGGGCCCCGGTCACGCTGGATGGAGAGAACAACAGGTCTGGGATTTCTGTGCTTAAATTCTGTCCTTTGTCCTGGCATCAGGCTGGGCTCTCTCAGAAGCCCCCAGAATAGAAAGGAGGGTGATGGTGATTCCTTAGGAGTCGGCCTTGGCGGGACCATCAGCCGTGGGGAGAGGATGGAAGGCCAAGAACAGGGTCTGAGGAGGAGGCTCCTGTGAGGGGAGAGGAGGAAGCAGTGAGGTGTCGGCTCAGGGTGGGGTCGGGGAGGGAACGGCCAGGCAGCACCACCAGGACCTTCGCAGAGCCCGGGCCCCCAGGTCCTATGGAGGCCTTTTTGAGGGGCAGGTGGGGAAGGGGAGGGCAGGAGGCAGGAGGCAGGAGCCAAGGTGACTGGGTGACACCCTGTGGGCCCTGCAGGCAGGGGGATGCAAACACCATACAGAAACTTGCCTAGCTCCAGGGCAAGAGGACAAAGGTCTGTCTCACTGCCTAAGCCCCCACCTCTGTTTGGCAAAAGCTGGAGCAGGGAGTCAGGAGTGCCAGCTGCTTTTAAGAGACAGGATAAGATCACAGAAAAGCCCCCGGCAATGCCTGGCTCTGCCAACCACCCAGCACAATTCACTCAGCCAGAGCATCACCTTGGAGCGTCCACTTAGCTTTTCTCAACATCATTTCTTTGCCTCTGAAGTGTAGGTGGATCCTGTGACCTACTTCCAGAGAGGGCTTTAAAGACGCGAATCAGAATAGCCACGCTGATGAGACTTATGTGCTGTTCTAGGTGCCCTTGGCAACCTACTTCACAGATGAGGAAACTGAGACCCAGAGAAGTCAGGTCAAACAGCGAAGAGGGGGTCCTGGGCGCTGAGGCGGGCTCTGGCTCCATGCTGTCACTGTGTGCTACCTCTTGCTATGACAGCTGTGGGCTTCCTGCCGTCAAGCAGCGGGTCCATGAGTCCTCACCACGGCCACATGGTGAAGGAATCCACAGGGGAAGAGGCCCACTTGGGGGTACAGACTCTGGCCAATGAGAGTCTGAACAGCAGTGACTTGTGGGGTGCAGGCATCACTGCCAGCAGAACAATCATAGCGAGGTGTCCGGAAGGTGATGCCCTCTGAAGAGTCTGGTGGCAGAAGGACCCAGCTGCATGTGTGAAAGTTAATGCCCGGGGACTTGTAGGTGGCCCAGTGGGAAGGGGACTGTGGTGCCACCTTCCACTCCTGCCCACATTTGCCTGTCCTCCACAGTGACAGGCCCAGAGGAAAAGTGTGAGAGAGCTGATTTGGCCCATGCGGTGCCGCCCTGCCCAGTGCGTGGGCCCCCCTCGCCATGCCCATACCTGCATCCTGAGGCTCAGATCTCCACCGAGGGGTCAGTGAAGCCCTTCTTGCCCTCATTCACCAGCACTGGCTTCTCTGTCCGTGTGTGCCACACCAGGATCTGTGTGCCCAGAGATGCAAGACACAGTGGGCCAGGCCCCTCACCCCACTCTGCTGCCGCCCTGCTCCCTCCCACGCCGGGCAGACGTTTCTCCAGCCCCTCCCTTTCCTCCAAGAGTTTTTCAATTGTTCCATCGAGATTTTCTCGATTGTTTTATAGTTATTTTCTGTGGCTCTAGACTACGCCCTCATTTTTGCTGTTTGGACGTGCGATGCTTACCTGCTGGAAATGGGAAGCCTAGAGCTGCAGAAAAGAGAAGCCCCCAAGACTTCCCGTGTGTGTGTGTGCGTGTGTGTGTGTGTGTGTGTGTGCATATGTATGCATGTTCGTGTGCATGTGTGTGTGCACACATGTGTGCATGCGCAGGCGTGTTTGTGCATGAGTGCTCAGCAAGGAGGTCCTGGAGCACAGCTGTTCTCCCTTTCCCTGCCTGCCCAGTGTCACTGCCTCATAGGTGATAAACTGCCTTCCTGGGAGGAGGTTTCAGGAAGGAAGCCCAGCTATTTTGAGGCCCCTGTTTCCTTCTCCCGATCGGTAGGGAGGGTCTGGAGGTACTTGAGACACCTGTGTCACAGCTGTCAGTTCTGCGGAGGGTCTCACCTTGGTGCAGTTGGCTGCCTTGGGCTCTAGGTCATTGAGGGTGACAAGTTCTCGAAGGAGGCTGCTTTCCTGGTAGCCTCCCTTCACGCCTCGCAGCTTGAAGTAGGCCTGGCTTCGCTGTAGAATGAGCCGCAGGTTGACTGCAAATCCAGCCATGTCTATTGCAAACGGCCGGTGGGGGTCAAACACCGTCTTCCAGCCGACCACCTTCCCTGCCCCGTTCACCCGTGGGGCCTCGTACCGCAGACCACCCACGAAGGCGACAGGCCACACGGACACCCTCCTGGTGCTGCGCATCTACAAGCAGGAGGTCCAGAGTCAGGGCAAGGCACTGCCGACAGGGACGACGCCTGTGCCCAAGGGAGACGACATCCATCAGCCGCCTCTGTGCCCACGGCCAGTGGAGGCCACCCAGGGGAGTCCAGTACAGCCCTGCCCCCAGGGCCCATCCCATGGGTTGGGCACTTGAGAAGAACCTGGCCTCTCAGACAGCCTGGTCTTCACCTTCTCAACATGGCCCTGCTGCTGTTTTCTCCTCCTGTAAACCCTTTCGGTCTCTCCAGTTTAGAGTTTGAAATGACTCCCCGTCTCCCTCAGACTAACACAGCTACCGTACACTCAGGCAAGCTCAAACTGTTCCAACTAAGAGGTTTCCGGTAGTCACGGAATGACCCACTCACAGCCCCCATTCAGACAATACCTCCAGGGCCAGGAACACGGTTCAGGGGCTCCAGAGCCACCTGCCTCCCCCCTAAACTTGCGGGGGATGCTTTAATCCGCAGTTCCATCCCTTTCCCCCGTTCTCTGCTGCCCGCCCGCCCCCAGTCCGGCAGGCACTGCTTCCCGATTTCCCTCTGCGCCTGCCTCCACCCCGGCCACCCCTCCTGGGAAAGCCCCTCTGCTCCTCGTCGGGCCCTCCGCACCTCTTCGAAGAGTTCCAGGCTGTAGGTGTTGTCGTCGTCGGCGAAGTACACCACGCCGGGCTGGCTGGAGTTGCGTGGGAAGGTCTCGCGCAGCCAGCG